TTAGCTTATAGCTGCTGCTTTCTGGAGAGTGAAGGAGTTTTTCTCCACAAATTATTTCACTTTTTACCATCTGTTACCAGTTCTTCCAACAAATCTTTTTTAAAAGTTGGTAGGAATAGGGGTGAGGAGTGGGGACAGAGCCCCAGCCCTGCTGTCTGGCCTTCAGACAGCTTGTGGGTTACACAGAACTGTGGTACAGTCATCACTGCCTGACTCCAGGACGCCTGCACATCGGAATCGGTGAATCTGATGGCCCTGAAATCCTAAGAGTGGTGAACACTTTGAGCACACACAGTATGCCAGGCACATGCTAAGCACTGTGTACACATGAACTCCTGTAGTTCTCATGAGTCTTAGGTGCTATTGTTTCTGTTTCTACAGGAGAAGGAACTGAGGCCAAGCTTGACAAAGGCTGCACAGTGGTAGATGGGATTCGAACCCAGACTGTCTGATTCCAGAGTGTAGGCCCCTCATGTGTGACCTTTATTTTCCTCTTTTCAATATGATTCTAAGATGTCTGCTCAGTTCTGTTTCAGCAGACTCTCACCATAAGACAACCGAGCGGAAATGTACTCGGTTGTGTAGCTCAGTGGAAGCCGGGTTCCCAGGCCACCTCCGGTCACCGCTACAGATCACTTACCCATGACATAAGCCTTTAGTCATGCTGGAGACAGGAATACTGACCGCATTTTTGTTTTCAATTTCAGAAAGCCAGCAAGCTGTGAATTCAGGAGAAACTAAATGCCATTTCCAAGTGGACTGTCTTCAGAGCCAGTGTTCCTTCGAACCCTTCTTAGGAAAAAGCAAAGATCCTTTCTTCTTGCCGGACCAAGGCTTCACCCTCACGAACTCACAGAGACCTGGCACACTGGCGCCAGTTCCAGCAGGCCCCAGCTGCTGGGAACCCCTCCGGCGAGGAGGAACCCCAAGTCCCCAAACCCTGGGGGTCCCCTCCTGGGAGAGCGGCGAGTTCCGGTGCCCTGTCTGCGGGGAAAGCTTTCGGAGGAAGGGCCACTTGGAGGAGCACCAGGGCAGCCACCCGAAGGCGCGGCCACGCAGGCCCTGGGGGAAATTCGGCAGCCGGGCTGATCCGCAGCCGCAGCCGAGGGCCCCCGCGGGCCCGGGGCCCCTCCGCTCCAGCGATTGCGGGCGGAGCCCCCAGCTGCGGCAGCATTTGCTTAGCCCTCTGGCGGGACACGCTGGGAAGCGCCCGCTGCAGTGCCCTCAATATCAAGTCTGCTTCCGCCACAAGCGGACTCTTCTCAGCCACCGCCTCCGGTGCACGGGGCAGAGGTCTTCCCAGTGCCCCAAATGTGACAGGGACTCTCTCCCTGAGGCCAGCGTGTGGGCTCTCCGGGAACAGACCAGCACAGGGGCGCCAGCCTCCTGCGGGGGAGGCCACGGGGCCGCCTGGGAGCCGGCCGAGCTCCGCGCCGCGCGCTCGGGAGAGGGGCCCGGCCGGCGGGCGGCCTGCGCGGAGGGGGTCCCGGAGAGCCCGTTGCCCTGCGCGGAGCGCGGCCCGCGCTTCCCCGCGAGGTCCAGCGGCAGGGTGCACCCGGGGGAAGAGCCCCTGCAGGGCGCGGAGGGCGGCAGGGGCTCCCGGCCGGGCGGCGGGCGGCGCGCGCCCCGCGGGGAGAGGCCCTTCTCGTGCCGCAAGTGCGGCCAGGGCTTCTCCCGGCGCTGCAAGCTGGCGGAGCACGGCCGCGTGCACAGCGGCGAGAGGCCCTTCCGCTGCGCCGACTGCGGCCGCACCTTCCGCCAGAGGGGCCAGCTGCTGCGGCACCGGCGCCTGCACAGCGACGAGAGGCCCTTCCGCTGCCCCGAGTGCCCGCTGGGCTTCCGCCTGCAGAGCATGCTGCGGGCGCACCGGCTCGGCCACGGCGGGGAGCGGCCGTTCTCCTGCGCCGAGTGCGGCCGGGCCTTCACCCACCAGTGCAAGCTGCGCGAGCACGTGCGGGTGCACAGCGGCGAGCGGCCCTTCCGCTGCCCCGACTGCGGCAAGAGCTTCCGCCTCAAGGGCATCCTGAAGGCGCACCAGCGCACGCACAGCCAGGAGAGGCCCTTCCCGTGTGCGCAGTGCGGCAAGGGCTTCACCAGGCGGTCCAAGCTCACCGAGCACGCGCGCGTGCACAGCGGCGAGAGGCCCTTCCGCTGCGCCACCTGCGACAGGAGCTTCCGCCTCAAGGGGCAGCTGCTCGGTCACCAGCGCCTGCACACCGGGGAGCGGCCCTTCCAGTGCCCCGAGTGCGACAAGCGCTACCGCGTGAAGGCCGACATGAAGGCGCACCAGCTGCTGCACCGCGGGGAGATGCCGTTCTCCTGCGAGTGCGGCAAAGGCTTTGCGAAGCAGTCGAAGCTGATCGAACACATCAGGACACACACGGGGGAGAAGCCTTTTCAGTGTCCCAAATGTGACAAGAGTTTCCGCCTGAAGGCCCAGCTGCTCAGCCACCAAGGCCTGCACACAGGGGAGAGGCCTTTCCACTGCCCCGAGTGTGCCAAAGCCTTCCGGGAAAGGGGGCACGTGCTGAGGCACCAGCGCATACACAGGCCCGAGAGGCCGTTTGCCTGCCGTGACTGTGGCAAGGGCTTCCTTTATAAGTCCAAACTTGCCGAACACATCAGAGTGCACACAAAGTCCCGTGGTGCGCCAAGCGAGCCCGACAGCCAGAAAAGGCTTAGCCAGCTGTTGGCGATGATCGAGGCCGACTGGAGCTGAAGCAGGGCTGGTGTGCCTGGGGATCCACAGCACCCTTAGCCAAACCCGCGGGCTGACAGATTTGAGGATCGGGCCCCTCGTTGGAACAAGAATGTAATCCAAGTTAAGTTAGGAATGTGAGAGACCACGTGAGGTTTCCTTGTTTAAAACATCACCAACTGTATTTCCCACCCTGTGATTTCAACAAGATTATTTGTTCTTCCTACCACCTTAAATGGTAATTTTCCCGCAAATGCTAAGCTAGCTTTGAACCCTAGCTTGAGTTCAGACAGGAGGAGATCCCTCCAGTACTGTTCTCAGACCTGTTCAACGTCAACTCTACTTTTCCTTTTTTTTTCATGGTATGATCCTGAACTGGGGACTAAATCTAGTGCATTTTGTTGCAGGCCTGATAAGAGGCTGAATTTGGTTTGGGTTCATTTATTTTGAAACTGATAGCAATGAAGAGTTCTCTGAATCCTCGTTCTCTGTGTGTCTGCTGAGGTTTCACAGAAAGCTTATACATGGTTCTGCCTAAGGAAAAGCTGATAATTGCAGCAAAATTTGGCCAATTTGAGTTGAAGAAACAACATTGAAGGTGCTAAGATAGTGGGACTAGAATTTATGTAAGAGACTGGAATAGGAGACATAGACGGGAGTTCCCAAACAGAGACGTTATTTGAAGCTGTGAGTGAATGACATTCCCCAGGGTGACTGTCTTAAGCAGGTAACTAG